AAAATAATTGTAATGCGAAATGTAATGTACAAAATTGATATCGGTTTCTAATTTTCATCGGTAACAAAAACTTGTAATGCCAAATTGACTGCAATTATTGATAGTTAATCAAGTCAAATTAATTTGTTTGTATGAAATTGATATCAGATTTTTAAGTTTTCTTGTTTTTATTGGTTACAAAATTCGTCAAAATGCCACTTTGTACAGAATGCGAGATTTCATTTTCCTGCATCACGTCTCTTTTTCATCATCTCACATTGCAACACAATTCAAGACAAAACGATACTTTCAGATGTAAAGAGAGCAATTGTTATAGAACTTTTATGAGTATGACAAAGTTTCGTAAACATTTAGTAACCTTTCACGTAATTCCTATAAAATCCACACAGATTAATCGTAATTTGTCGCAACAAAAGTACATTGCCACCGAAAAATTAGAATCTTTATCTACAAAATTGGACTCACAGGATGAAACCAACACTGAACAGCCATATAATGCAAAAGATAATAATAATGACAACGGTAATGAGGGTCTTCACACAGTTTTTTTTAAATATACCGCAAAACTGTATGCTGACCACCGTTTACCTCGCATTTTTGTGCAAGAGACTATTGAATCCACTAAGCAGTTATTCGAAGAGATATTGTGCATATTGAAGAAAGATATTGAAAATGAAATGAAAAGTTCTAATATCAAACATGACTTGAAAAGAAAAATCCTTTCGAAATTTGACAACACAACACTTCCATTTACTAATTTTGCTACGGAACATTTAAGATTCAAAGCTTTTCGGGAATCGGGTTTTTTCATTAAAGCAAAAGAATACATTGTTGGCGATCGAGTAGACGATAAGTTAAATAATGGCATAATACAGAAAAAAATTGTCGAAGTCACAGCTCAATGTATTCCGATGCGAGAAACTTTGGGGAAATTTCTGAGCATACCCGGAGTTTTTAAATCTGTACACAATAATTATTGCAATCTTATGAGTAATGACAAGATAATCACAAACTTTGTTCAAGGAAAATTGTGGCGTAATAAAGTTAAATCTTTTAGTCCACATAAAATAGTTTTGCCTTTATTCCTCTATTTCGATGACTTCGAAATAAACAATCCTCTCGGAAGTCATTCAGGGATTCAGAAATTGGGTGGATTGTATTTTTCTATACCCTGTTTGCCCCCTGAAATGAATTCTTTGATCGAAAATGTTTTTGTTGCTGGTCTATGCCATTCCCAAGACAGAGTTGTTTTCAAAAATCATCGAATATTTCACATTTTCATAGATGAATTAAATTATCTGGAGTCTAAAGGCATTGAAATAGAAACAGAAAAAGGAATCCAACGCGTCTTTTTTGTGCTTGGACTTATACTGGGAGATAATTTGGGACTTAACGCAGTTTTAGGATTTTCGGAGAGTTTCAATGCTAATTTTTATTGCAGATTGTGCTCATTATCAAAAAGTGAGATTCAATTTGAGTCAAGAGAGAAAAAAATGCGGCTTGAATCGTACGAAAGAGATGTAATGCTAAATGATGCTAAGAAAACAGGTATAAAAGAGAGATCTGTGTGGGATGGCGTACAGTCTTTCCAGTCAGTCGAAAATTATGCTGTTTGCTTTCTGCATGATGGGTTTGAAGGTGTTTTGAAGTATGTGATGGCTCAAATACTGCATTATTATTGTTCAGAACTGAAACCCACATCTCAGCGATTAAGCATTGACGTTGTAAATGGCAGATTAAAATCATTTGATTATCTTCATAGCAATATTAGTAATAAACCACCAATTATCAGCGAAAAAGAATTGAGGAGCAAACATTTGTCGATGTCGGGTGCTGAAATGCAAAACTTTGTGTACATATTTGCAATGATAGTTGGGGATTTAGTTCCACATGATAATGTCTGGCAATTATATTTACAACTTCGAAAAATCACAGAGTTATGCTTAGCCAAAAAATTTCAGAAGGAATGTGGTAGTCTAATGCGCGTTATGGTTGAAGAATTTATTCTTATGCTTAAAGAAATATTTCCGAGAGAAAATGTGAAACCTAAACTGCATAATTGGACTCATTACGGCACTATAATGGAAGAAGCTGGCCCAATCATTGACCTTAGCACAAGCAAATTTGAATCCAAACATAAGCTAAAAAAGAAAGAAGCCAGTGCTACCACTTCTCGTGTTAATATAACGTACACACTTTGTTTGAAAGAGACTTTAGGCCTTTGTTATCGGTTTTTGAACAAACGAGGTTTAGAACCGAATAATGATTTCGGTTCGATAATTGAACATTTTGTATGTATTTCGCATTATATTATATATCCTTTATTAAAAGAATCGGTTCCTCCATCATTTGTCGGACGTCCTTGTCTCCAAGTTTGTTGGGCACAAGTAAATGGCCAAATATACCGGAAAAAATCGTGCGTGGTTATCGATGTAACAAAAGTACTTATTCTGTAGAGCCTGTATTTGGATTTGCAGAAGCTATATTGATGAACGCCCAGAATGAGTGCCTTCTCGTTTGTAAAATTGCAAATATGGTCAAATTCAATGATATGTACCATGCATACGAATTAGAAATGACTGAAATGTTTAAGTGTATACTCGTTGAAAATTTAATCGACCCGCACATAGTTATAACTGTGAAAATGGGGGATGGAAAATTGTACGGAACTGTAAGGAGTGCACTGTGATTGTATTTTAAGAATGTACTAGATTAGATAGCAAGTCATTAGACATTAAGAAATATGTAACAGCAAACATTTAAAACATTTAAATAATAATTGTAACACAATTAAAAATACAATGAAATGATAATTTGAAATAAAGTATTTTTTATACAAATGTTTTTTATATCTGTTTTCTCTGAATTAAATGGTGTATTCATATGAGTTACTAAAACGGTATGAATAATTCACGAATAAAGAGTATGGGTACTGCATCTACACTAAATTAACGTTTTATCAATATATTACATGGATACTATATTCACATTAAATGTGTGTTTTACGAATATGGAGTATTGATACCACATCTATAAGAAATTTATGCTCTATTAATGTGTGTATTGCTATATTGACAAATATTACATGGATATTATATTCACACTAAATGTGTGCTTTACGAATATGGAGTATTGATACCACATCAATGAGAAATTTATGCTCTATTAATGTGAGTATTGCTATATTGACAAATATTAGCTATTAATCCCATATGGATATCACATCCATAATTATTGATGGACAGGATTATCAATTTTTTATGGGCGCAGCATCCATATTTATGGATGTGGTATCTATAGATTTCTCTCCGTGTACATATACTTTTTTACCTTTTACTCGCCTTACCATTAATACTTGTTGCTCAAAATACCAAAATTGAGTATTAATTTTGTAAAATTTTATTAATAGGTTGCGAAAGAAAAAAATTTTATTTTTTCCAAAAACTCGAAAATTCATATCTTTAAAAAACAAAAAACACCTCTGTGAAAATTTTAGAATCTTTAAGGAACATGCAGAGGTGCCATGCAAAAACAAATTAGCTCAGAAAAATGTTAGTTTTTGATTAATAAATTTTAAAAATTTAGATATTTAGCAATTTTTTTATTTTTTTCTATTTATTTTTTTGTACATATGCATAATTTTATAGCACCTAGTATCCTTTCTAAAACGAGTCCAAGATGTTTTTTGTAGCTATAATAGCTTTTGAGATATTCAAAAAATTAACTTGAAAAACTGTTGTTTTTATTACAATTGTCGAAAATGTAAAACCAAACTTACGTCAATAAATGCTCAACCTCAACAAAAATATATAGCTCTTCATTTTAGCTACTATTAGTTGAGGGATTCACAGCGGTGTCGTAAGTGTCGTATTGTTGTGTGTCGTAAATTTTAAAAGCTTAAATAACCTGAAACCACAACCAACTACATTTTAACACTGCGAAAATTCATAATATGAATTTGATGGTACTTTGCGAACTCCCAAAATATACTTTTAGGAGTTTAAAGTTAACGCAATACCACAATACGACAGTTACGACACCGTTGTGAATACCCCAAGTGTTATTGAGCTCTTTTCAGTTCTTTTTTTTTACCGTTTTAGCTCCAAACGAAATTTTTCCCTGGCAACACTGATTCCATTGGAATACATACTTCCACAAACATACATAGTGAAACCCGCTTAAGTTCCCCCCCGCTTAAGTGCCTAACCCGCTTAAGTAACCAACATTTTTGGACACCATGAATTTTTTAATTTATTCTGAAGAAAATCCCTCTCGTAAGTACCTCCCCGCTTATGTACCTCAATTTTTCATGCCCCATTTACAATTTTACATATGATTTTCCCCTTTTAAGTGCTCTTTTAAAATTCCTTAAAATATTTACGTATTTTGAAATTCAGTAGCAGCGCCACACACCTTCGGTAAAAAAATTCTAAAAAATCAACGGTAATTTTTAGCCACTTGAAACTTGCACATTATTGCACTAAAATTGAATGGGCTATAAAACTGTATACTCAAAAAACACTTCTGAGGAAAAAGTTTGAAATTATGATGATTTTTTTTAAGTGCTCTACAAAATCTTAAGCTTAGGTTTATATGGTATTTGTTAGGGAATGAACTGCATTTTAATTGATTGAAAAATCTTAAAAATTAATAAATAAACATAAGTGGCAAACGATATTATTTTGAATTTGGTACAAAATGATATGTCCAACTTAGACCTTGTGAACAATTTACTTCTTGTAAAAATGACATACCATTGCACTAAATATTTTTTTTTAATAAAGTTTTTCTTTACATGTTTATGTGTTTACATAATGCTACGATTTTGGTTTTAAACTATGTATACTTCATTAAATGCTGTTATTCAAGTATTTATGTAAGTTAACAAGAAGATGTAACTACATCAGTAATTATGTCCGCTTAAGTACCCGCATCGAGGTATTTAAGCGGGTGCTTTTAAGTACCCAACCCGCCTAAGTACCTCAAAAAGCTGACATTTTTCGTAAGGTACTTAAGCGGGTTTTACTGTAGTAGAACACGGTGCAGCGAACAAAGGTGGCGCCGTCAGTGGTACCGCTACTTTGGTTTTGCCGATTTTGACAGTTGTGGTAACTTGTAAATAAACCTTTGTTTACAAATCAGCGACAAAGAGAATTTTAATTCTAAGTGAAAAATCAGTTTAAATGGCGCTAATTCTCAATTTCTGAGTGATTTTTGAGTTGAAGACTGCGTAAAAACTAATAAAATACAAGTGCCGTGTGTTAAATTTCGACAGGCGTTAAGATGCGAGATGCGTAGATGGTGCAAGCGTAGCGCTGTGACGAATCGCTGCATTTTGTGTACATAGGGCACGGTAAAGCCGTTCTCGAAATGTATCCTTATTATTATATTGACAGCATTTCATCACAATGACTTCGCTTCTGCTCCAAGCATCCTCCTTTAGCAAGTTAACTAATCAATCCCACTGAGATGCTGCCGCATTTTACTGTATCAGCCTTAATTGCAAAGCAATGGAGTGCACTAAAACGTTTGCTGCAGCAGCTTCGATTGCAAATCAATCGAGTGCACTAAAACGTTCACTATTCTCTAATAGATTATGTGAAAATGCAATATTTTCGCATTAAGCTAAATTAGAACACGTTTTTCGCTGTAAAGTTAACTGTTTTGGCAGTTTCAACTCGTTTTTCTTTTCGCTTTATCCTTTGTTTACTTGTGGTACACAAATGTCAACGGCCAGGACGGCGCAATCTTGTATTCTATCATTCTTGGTAGTAGATACCAGAGACCGGCAAACGAAGATGATTTTGTGACTATATGCCTGCTCACATTAAAAACGGGCAATGAACGAACACCAGCGCATAGCGTACAGTGCTTGCAAATACAGCCACCACAAGTGAACGATACCAGAGAACTTATAGCGTTTTCTTTTCTCAAAAAATGTTCTGCACTTTTATATGGGAACTCTTGCTTTGCTTTGCCCTGAAACCTGAGAAAATGTTGCATTCTTTATATGAGAATGAAACAGAAAATGTACTACTCCATCACAATTTATTTATAGAACTTAATAAAGCTGAATTATTCACTTGGCCTGTAAGTCTTTAACAATTTTAAAGCAAAACACTTACTTCTGATAGGGAAAATAATTGAATTTTTACAAGATTAAACTAAAAATCAACCATGCAACTCTCGCCCTCACGTTTATTTGAGGGCAGAAAAGGCAGCACTTTCACCGGATCAGAGCGCAACCTGCTGAGAAAAGAACATGACGCCTTGTGAAAGGGCTGAGAAAAGAACTTGAAAATGTGACAGCGCTAACACAAGGCAGAATAAGTGCAGCCTTTTTTCGAGAAAAGAAAACGCTATTAGAAATATATAATTAACTAACATGTATATGAACCCTGTAGTGAAAAGCTGAACCAGTATGCACAAATTCCAGTTCATGAACTATTATTTAAGGATAAAAGTCATACCAGTTCGTTATGGACTATACTATTATTAGTTCATTAACTAGTATGTGCTAAAGCGACGGCCTACCATTTCGGCGATTTCGAACAACTTATGCGATCAGCGACATCTGTCTTAGAATAGGCACAACCAAAACTAAAATGCGGTTAATTGCTTTCATCGTAAATGTTGGCTGTGGCGTCGAGTGAGGACTACCGATTCTGGTTCTGAGATCTAAGGTTCGAGTGGGCGTGGAGGTTGTTAAAGTAAAGTAAGTGAATTAATTTAAATAATTATTTCAATTTAAATATAAAATAAAAGTTGTACATAAATTAAATTTGAGTTGGAAAAACCTAAATACTCAAATACCATAAAAAATGAAAAGAAATAATTTTTCTTTTTAAAACAATAAATAATAAAAATTACACAAGACATAAATGAAAAAAAATAATAATAAAAAAAAATTAAAAAATTCGCTCACTGAGATTCGAACTCGGATCTCTTGATTTGGCGTGCAAAAGCTTTACTCTGTCGACCATTGCCACTGTTGCAGCGCCGCGAGCAAAATGCTACTAGTATTTCTACTGGTTGCGTGCTGATGCAGGAGCGGACAATTGGCATCTCCTATGACATCGCCATGTTAAAAATACCAGTCGCTAACATTGAAAACGGATACAACGTGAACTAGTTGGGCTGAAATGCAAACCGGTAGCATTCTGGTTCACAACTGGTAGCTTTCCCTGCAGGGAATAATTAGATAGATAGAGAAGGTGCAAATTTTTGGAACGTAAAATTGTTTGGCTGAAAAATAAATCCATGGAATATCACCACACCGCGATTAACATTTCAACAAGATAACAGAGAAAAATGTAAATTTCGGTTATGATAATTAGTCTGTTCCTTTGAACTTCGGACTAAAACCTGTGGAACTGTCAAACTACAATTTTACGCTCTCAAATGAGAGTAAAAGGAGAACAGATGCAGAAGTGCATAGGAACGCAAAAAGCACTATTTCATGTCATTGGTACTACACCGATTTGGCTGAAATATCACTAAATAATTATTAAAATTTATACATATTCAAATATTTCGTTGTTTACTTCCATTTTTTAACAAATATAAGCTTCTTTGCTTTCACTGCTTTCTGTTTTTGTTTGCACATGTAAATCAGCTGATCGTTTGACACTTTTCATGAACTTACTGGAAAAAAATCTCCGGACTAAATCCTGTAACTTCTGACTAGGAACAGTTGCTCATTTACTCTCTCAAATGTGTTCCCACTTACAGGTTTTGTGTCAATAGGAACGACTTCCTGTAAGTTCTGACTAAATCCTGTAAACCGGACTGCTATTGGAAC